ATCGTTCATCTATCTATCTATCGTTCATCTATCTATCTATCTATCTATCGTTCATCTATCTATCTATCTATCGTTCATCTATCTATCTATCTATCGTTCATCTATCTATCTATCTATCGTTCATCTATCTATATATATATATTTTGAACTTTTCAGGCTATCATTCCAGGATTTTGTGTCCTGCAATTCTGTGTCCTGTTTTCTAATTCAACTTTGGGAATTGATTTGGCATTTAACAGGAATTCTCGATGGGATACACTGAGACAACATAAAATTGACTTACTTTTACCTTTACAAATCAGTCTAAGGGTACGCAAATCCCTAGTTAGGGTGCATTAATCAGAGAAAGAGCTGTGGCTGTTGTGAAGATGAGCATTTTCACCTCTCATGGGATTTTGGCTGCATTAGTGTCCTGCCCTGTTTTCATTGGTAATCTTCACTGATTAAAGGTCTCTGAAAGTAGGACTGCATGTGTGTGTGGGCATGTCAGATGGTATCTGATGCCTATGAACTGATTTTTCTCCAGTGCTTGTTCCTGTCATCCTCTCCTCCTCATCAAAGTGGATTTAGTGACTCAGTGTTTTGGGGTTTGGTCTTTCCTGAGCGATGTCACGCTTGAGATCAGCTCACTAATGCTGGGCGTTTAGTTAGCTTTGGCTCAAAACACAAGTGTGTCAGTGTGTGTGAGTGATTTTACTGTGGGTTTTAAGTGGTGTGGTATTTAGTGGTGTTTGCTAAAATATCATTGTTGTGCCTACTTAAAGGGATAGTTGAGCCAAAAATGGAAATTCTGTCATCATTTGCTCGTTTACATTTATGCATTTTCATTTACTTACCCTCTCATGTTGTTCCAAATCTGACTTTCTTTCTTCTCTGAAACATAAAAAGAATATTTATTAATTTAAATGTTATGGTGAACTATCCTTTTAAGGATTTGAACAAACCCCAAACAACTTTGGCAAGTAATTGTCTTGCACTTAACAATCTCTTACAATCTCTTGGTGTTTATATATATATATATATATATATACTATTGATTTAGATTTTATTTTTATATTGTTATATATTTTAGATTTTTATTTTTATATATTTTAGTTTTCGTTTGTTAGTTTTAGTAATTAATGTTTTTTTTTTGTCATTTTTATTATTTTTTAATTCTATTTATCTTCATTTTTTCAGTTTTATTTTTCAGTTATTTGCCAAGGCAACATTTATAATTTTCATTTTAAGTTTTTTTTAAAAATTTTATTCCAGTTTAATTTGAATTAATCAAACTGATTTGATAGTTTTGAATTCAATTTTAGTTAACAATAACAACACTGTCTACAGTTTTCATTCTAATTTTGTTCAGGTTTTCTAATTTTGTTACATCCTTTTGTCATGGCTACTAGTTTTTGTTTTGTATTTCTACTTAGCTTTATTTTTATTTCAGTTAGTTGCCAAGCACTATTTCTAATTTCTGTTTTTTTTCATGTAATATTTATATTTTTTCAGCTTTATTTCAATTAATGAAAACTAATTTTAATAGTTTTTGTTTTAGTTTTATTCAACAATAACAACTCTGTCAACAACCACACAAATTTGCCATAACAAATACTTAGCAATGCCCTAGCAACCACTCAAAGCACCTTAGAAACCATTTAGAACACCATAGCATCGTGCTGGTGGTGAGTTTTGCAAATGGCTTCAGAAAATGTAAAAATCTAGTCTGTGGTTGAAACCTTTTTAATGGTCAAAAACAGCAAGCGAGAGACAGAGCTCTGGAACGAGTCCTGTCCTATTGGCTGTATGGCCTCATAACTCTGAAATGAGAAAGATGGGGAAGGAAAAGGAGGAATCTACTTACAGCTAATCTACTCCCTCACACGAACTCAAAGACACACACACACACACAGCTGTGGAAAGTGTGTGAGGGGAGTGCGGTAAGTTAATAGCAGCAGAGGGAGTGACACAGTTTAATAGTTTAAGAGCTTCTGTGTCTTTCTCCGGAAGACTCAAATGGGAAGAGCATCACCTCTCGACAACACAAGAGTTAAACACTCCAGCTCTCTCTCTGTGTGTGTGTGTGTGCACGTTTTTGTGACAAATGAGGACATAAATTTGTATAATGACAAGGGTATGACATAGGTATTACAAGGAGAAGGTGACTTTTCAGGACATTACCCCATGTCCCCACTTTTCAAAACGCATATAAATCACACAGAATGGAGTGTATTGAAAATCTGAAATAGCACAAAGTTTCCTGTAAGGGGTAGGGTTAGGGGTAGGGTTGGTGAAGGGCAATAGAATATACGGTCTGTACAGTATAAAAACCATTACGCCTATGGGATGTCCCCACTTTTCACAAAAACAAACCTGTGTGTGTGTGTGTGTGTGTGTGTGTGTGTGTGTGTATGTGTGTGTGTGTGTGTGTGTGTATGTGTGAAGGTAAAATGATCTGTCAGCTGGAATATAGACTCTCACATACCAAATACAGCTGCTAACAGCACAGTTTTCTTCTGTCCATTTTCTGCCTCTCACAATATTTGGTCTGCGTCTCTCTTATTTGAATGACAGAAAAACAGGAGATACATGAACAAAACCTGATGATCATGTTCTCCTAAATGATGTGATATGTTACAAAGAGCATCACATGATGGTTGACACTCATTTACTTACCTTGGATTTACTTAACATTTGTATTTAACATAAAAATGATTTATTAAATTTGTGAAAAATCTAAATTAAAATAGAAAACATGTATAATATAATATAATATAATATAATATATAATATACACTACTGTTCAAAGTTTGAGGTCAGTAAGATTTTTACTTTCCTCCAGCAAGGATACATTAAATTGATCAAAAGTGACAATAAAACATTTATTGTTACAAAAAAAAAAATTATATTTTAAATAAATGCTGTTATTTTGAATTTTTCGTTCATCAAAGAATCCTGAAAAAAATTATTGTTTTCCACAAAATAAATTACATTAGTGAACGGCGGCTGGTCTACGTGGACGGAGTGGTCGACCTGTAACAGTCGATGTGGGCGGGGCCTTCAGAAAAGAACCCGCAGCTGCACCAATCCCGCGCCTCTGAACGGGGGGTCGCCGTGTGACGGACAGGCCATCCAAAAAATCGCCTGCACCTCAGTTTGCACAGGTACCAGTCTACAGAAATTAATCAGAGTTTAATTTGACGTGAATGAAAACGAAGCTGTGAGGGACAGAAGTGCGTGTACATGTGTGTTGAGCATTCAGCTGGGACAAAAATGAGTTGTGAAATTGTAATCATCTCTAACAGCCTTGTTTTTGTTTAAAATAATGTCAGAGTAATTTAATTGTATTTAATAAATAAAAAAATATTTTATTCATATTGAAATAAAATAAATAAATAAAATAGCGTCATAGTTATTCAATAGTATTGGAAACATTTTTTTAAAAAAATTCGTATTTAAAAATGACGTGAATGAAAACGAAGCTGTGAGGGACAGAAGTGCGTGTACATGTGTGTTGAGCATTCAGCTGGGACAAAAATGAGTTGTGAAATTGTAATCATCTCTAACAGCCTTGTTTTTGTTTAAAATAATGTCAGAGTAATTTAATTGTATTTAATAAATAAAAAAATATTTTATTCATATTGAAATAAAATAAATAAATAAAATAGTGTCATAGTTATTCAATAGTATTGGAAACATTTTTTTTTTTTTATTCTTGATTTGGGCTGAAATCATTACATGAGAAGAAAGCGAGAGTGGAATGATGTGAGAGACGTGATCGTGTCTGTGTGTGTTTATAGTGAACGGCGGCTGGTCTACGTGGACGGAGTGGTCGACCTAAATGAAAAAAAAATTTATTGAATTAAATGACGTCATAGTAATGAATAGTAATATGTATTACCCGTAGGGAATCAAAAGTAATATGTGACATTATATTGTATATATTAATAATTTTACATATATCATTGTTTCATGAATATAGTTGTATTTGTTGTTTGTCATTTATTATCTCATAAATATTGTAACTTAAAAGCATCATTTTAGAAAACAAAAATGTATAATGATTATTCTATTATAAGAATATTCTATTCTTTGGGTGTAAAAAGAAACATTTAGATTTATTTTAAATAAACATGCCATCTACTTAGCAAATACTTAATCACTGCATTAATTCATTCCTATGTTAGCTTGAAAAATATTAAAAACTAAAAATGTGCAACAGATATCATTGGCTATAGTAAAGTGACATATCAAACAGTATTATTTTAGGATTATTTATATACTATCATAGTATTTATTCATATTTTATTTTAGATTTTAATTTAGATTTAATTAAGTTCTATTTTTATATTTTCGGTTTTCACTTTAATTTTAGTTTACGTTTTGGTAATTTTGTTATGTGATTTTGTTGTATTTATTCGTTTTTGGTTTTTTTAACATTTCTATTTAGCTTTATTTTTATTTTAGATTTAGGTTTAGTCATTTTAGTTCTTCATCTTAATTTCTTTTAGTCATCTTATTTCATTTAGTTGCCAGAGCAACATTTCTCATTTTCATTTAAGTTGAGGTTTTTCATTTAATATTTATATTTTATTTTATTTCAGCTTTCTTGCAATTAACAAACAACACTGAATCACAAATGGAGGTTTTCATAAAGATCTGAGTTTGTAATCATGATACTACTCTGGAACTTATTACAATATTTCCGACATGACGTAAACGCACAGTGAGGTCAGTTCTTAAACATGAAGGGAACACAATGAAGAATTTGGTTCAGATTTTTTCCTCCATTGACATTTATTCATTTGGCAGTTGCTTTTATCCAAAGTGACTTCCAAATGAAGAATTCCTTCCATAAACAGAAGGATGGAAAATTCACTGTGAGACTATTGAATTGTGAGGAATTCCTTTCATAAAAACTTGATTCTTTTCCAGTCCAGTTTGAGTTCTTCACCTCTTGATAGCATCAGACAAATGCATCTTTTTCCAGGCCCATCAGTTCAGCTTTCAAGCCAGACACTTCCCCTATACTTTGGCCCCTAGGGGCCCCTAAGGGGTGAGCACATTTCCATCCCCTCCTGCCTGTGAGAGTCAGTTCACTGTGAAGCAGGTGAGATTAAAGCATCTGCAGGCAGCAGGAGAAATGCCACAGTCACACGCTAATGACTGACCCACATACTGCAGCCACTCTCCTGTGACAGAATCCAGAGACAGGCCCAGAACCAGACTAGATCAGAGCAGAAGATGCATCATGTTTTATTTTATTTTATTTGTATTTTATTTTATATGTTTTTTTATTTTATTTTGTGTTTTTTATGCTTATTTTATTTTGTTTTATTCTATTTTATTTTTTGTGTGCAATATGCTTGAGGTGGTCCATGGCAGAGGCTTTTATTTCATTTTATTATATTTTTTTTATTTTTTTTATTTAACTGAATTTGATATTTTTGTTATTTTTAATTTTATTTCGTTTTTTATAATTTTTTTTTTTTTT